TGATTGGCATGATTCAAGAGTCAACACCCCGTTAATTGCTTTTGTTACTCTGGACATCAAGAGGTAAGACGAGTCCAATTGTCTGATTCATGAGAGTTGTATGCTTGTGTGCTGATTCATTTTGTTAAATTTTCCCCTTTTCCTTCGGATCTTTCTTTTCACCGCTGACATTATCCGCAGGTTTTGGGCTTTGTTTCTTGCTAGAGGCTTTTACTGCCACTAGTGTTTATTTGGTGTAATAGACATAATGTACTCTTAGTATTATTTTTGATAGCTTAAAGTTGAGACCGGCCAAAAATGTATGTTATAACCAGAAAAAAAATTATAATTACTAGAACCTAAAGAAAAAAATTGTTACCTAAACGGTATACGTTATTAATTATTAGTTCTGTATTTTATACCACAAAGAAAGTGTATTACAATACTTTCTATCTTATCTTTGCCTATAGGTATGGTTTAAGCTAATTTAAAACAACTCTTTAAGCTATATCTCGTTCTTGCAACTAGCTGATATTACAACATTTTATCGTTACAGATCAAGGGCTTCTAAATTTGTTGAAAGTAGGATTTAAAAATGAAGATACGACATGAAAAAAGATGGTAGTGGTGGGTATGGAGGAGGATGCCACTGACTCATATATGCTCAAGAGCTTCACTAGAGAAATTTCTCCCAGGCTGAGGAACTTGCTGATGAGGAAGCCCTTTTACTCCTCCCTCTTGACTCTCTGTCACCATTTTCTTCTCTTTCATATCATCCTTGATCCCCGCATCACCCACAACAGGTGGCTCGTCCACCACTCCTTTAACTTCTTTTATCACTTTCTTTGGCTCTTTGTTACGGTTCATGGCTTCCTTGTCTCTCCTGGACTCCATTGCCAATATCCCAACTTCGAACTGATTGTTTTCCTTCCTCCGATTCTAGTTAAGAAACAATCTTAATTTTGCCTCGTCTCTCCTTTCAGCTTTTTCTTTGTGTTTGTTGGTTTTCTTCTAAATCTTATATTAGGTATGCGGTGCTTTTTCTTTGTTGTTACATATGAAGCTGTTGATGGTAGCATTTAATGGTGCAACCTCTTAGTGAAGTGAGGAGATACTAATCAAATTTGCTCGAGTTATCAAGTTGGTTAGTGTTTGTAATTTGTTTTTTCAGTATAACGTAATATATGTAAATATTACTTTTGCATGAGGACAAGAGTTTAACGTCTAACTTTTAATTTTGCAGAGCTGGAGAAGTGGTGTCTCACCCAGAAGGTGATGTCTGTGTTTGTGGGTTGGCAGTAGTATATACCTTATCTCTATAATTTTAACCGTTTGCTGCAAAAAAAAAACTTTTGACCACAAAAAATAAATAGAAACATAATTGATTTCTATACTTTTATCTCATACCATTATAGAATTCTCAGCATGTTTATCTGTTTTGCTGTCTCTGCAAGAAAGCAGCATGTGTCTTGTTGAAACACACGGCAATCTTGCCGCATGACATGTTGCTTTAATTTTTTTTTTTTTGAGGCCGATCATGTTTCTTTACTAGAAAGTCTTTTGGTATAATCTTCAGAAAAAGGAACTCTTCTGGTACAAGTTTTATTTTCTTTGAATTTCGATGAGAATGTTTCATTTTGAGCGCAGAAAACGTGGGAAATTCTACTGCATGTTTTAAAGCCATCCATATTAGTAACTATATAATTATGGCGCTTTGAAAATGAAAAACTTCTTCAAACATTGTAGTGTATAATTGAAGTTGCATTTTTTTCCCCTTTTCATCTAAACAAAATACCATTCAAACTTCCTGCTTATTATTTACATTATATTTGAATACAAGATATTAATTTTTACATACACTTGTATTCTTATTAATAAGAATTATCATTTTTATGAGAAATTCTCTGTTCTCTTAGAAAAAAAATACTATTGCTCCCTTAAAAAATTGAATCTACTATTTTCTTTAATATAACGCCATCATCACTTACTAATATTTAGATGACCCTTAAATGTAATTTAATATATATAAACTATAATCGATGTTAAATATGGACATTGAAACTTATAAATATTATTATGTTCATCATTCTAAAATTATAACTAAAATCCTTATTGGCATTGTATCATACTCTTTCAAACTCTTAAAAATATAAAATATTATTAGTTAAAATTTTAACATTTCACTTAAAACTCAATACTTTATGAATAAATTATAAGATGACAATATTATAACATTTAATACGATTGGGGCTTAAGTTTTGGTGAGAATATGATGACTGAGTTTGGTTGTCTTATTTTCTGGTAATGAAATTTTTTGGGTATAAATTTAATGCCTCACAAGCATTCTTTTTAACTATAAAAAATAAAATATTAAATAATGATTGAGACGAACTTTCAGAGAGCCAGAAGTGCTGAGAATGTAGAGTAAATTACTCATGTATTTGAAAAGTGGTAACGTGCATTGTATAATAATAATAACGGCGATTAGTTCTAAGCTAATTCAGTGAACTGTGGAAATATAAAAAGAAAATTTGCAGTAATTATAGATCACGTCATTATGCTTTCTTCCTAAACAAATATAAGAAATCCAATTATTATGATTTTAGGAAAAAATAAAGTTACTTTTAGATAGCAGGTACTTTAGAATTAAATTTCTCAGAAAAAATAAAAAAAAAAGCTTTATTGTTTTATATATATATATATATATAATGTTTTGGGTATCTGCCTGTTTATTTTTATCTTGAATTTATTTAGGGGCATTTTTAATTTTTAATTTTTAAAAATTCTTTAGGCAAAAAATTTTAGATAATAATATGATTTATTATATTGGAAAAAAATAAATTATAATTTAAATAAAAACATACTAGGAAATTATAATTTAAACTAGAATAAAAATAAATTAGAGTAGATAAAAATGTAATTTTAAATTAAAACCTATAAATAATAGTTGAAAACGAGGATTGATTCTTTGAACATTCATGAAGCACGTGAGAAAGGTGTGGAAAAGGGGGAAGCGGGAAAGCCCCCGTACTAAAAAGCTGGGGAGCGTATACTAACATGTTTCCCAACTCAACATCACCACCAATAGCCAAATGCCACGTGTCCCTAAACTTGGCACTCCACAACGTCTCCCTTCTCTCTCGCTCTCTCATTTAAACCTCTAAAACCCTGCATCTAGGGTTCTTCTTTCCTTATTTTGGAACCTTATGCTTCAGTTAATAAGGGTAGTCATTAATGTTTCAGTTATCGATCGTCATGTTTAGATATTTGAAGTTGATTTAAGCTTTATTTACTTGTTCGTTGAATATATTTGACGGGGCTGAAAAATGAAGATGATCCGGTTTGAGTTTTGGTTCGTCTTCATCCTTGTGGTTGCGGTTGTGATGGAGGAAATGGCGTCGCATTTGCTATCTGGTCCGCACATTGCTGATGTCAATGTGTTGTTGCCTCCGAAAATGACGAATCCTGTGGAGTTTCGGCTTCAAGGAAGTGATGGCTGCTTCAAATGGTAGTTCTGATTAACATTATGTTTTTCTTTTGGATAGATAATAAAACCAAGTTTATGAGTACGTTGAATTGTTTGACAAAAAATGTGTGGAGAGAAGAAAAGATATGGAAATGTTTCCTTAAACAATGTTGAAGCTCACAGAAGTAGAAACCCTACTAAGTTTAGTACTTGGACGGACTTTTTAAATTTTTCGAAACTGTGGGGAAGAAACTTTATGCTCCCATTAGTTGATATTTTTCTTAATAAAACAAATTTAGGGTATCTTGAAGCTTTTGTGTGGTTCTTCGAAAATCTAGGGGAATAGAAAGAGTTGAAGGAATTTTCAATGTTATGGTGTATTCAAGCGAACATAAGTAGAAACCGGACTAACTTTAGCTTAATGGAGTTGATTTTTGTAACTTTCCTTGTTAATAGAGACTACAGTGAAGAAACCATTGCCTAGTTTATGATCTTTGGGAACTCACTGGTGTGTCAAAATTGGCCGGGTGTTGAATGCTTTTTTCAGGGGTAAAAGAAAATGAAACTTGACGAAAATGAGAATATGATACTAAGAGCATATGAAATGGGGCGTTGGTAAATGTGGCAGCAGATGTCGAAATGCATTTGATAGGAGCCATTTGACCATAACATAATCTTTTGCAAAACAGGAGTACAGTCTGTTCGTACATTTTGGAATATCCAGCTTCTATGTTGTTAGTGGTATTATTGAATGTTGATATTGTGAGAAAATGATGTTATCAAGGAAGAAAGTAGCAACAATTTGGTAATTGGGGCAATTGAGTGTTGTTATACTCCTTGGAAATTTTCTGTGAAATGCATCATAAGTGCAATGCTGTTTCCAATTTTCAATGAAATTCATAGTTCTCGTTTTAAGATTTGCCATGTTCAGTGTCAGGAGGCTACAAGGTAGGAGGTGGGTTCCAATTAAAGAAAGAAGAAAATATATAGTTTAGAATTTGATGACTTATTTTATCAAGACATGGAGAATAGAATGAAGAAGATCTATTCTGCCTACACTGCTGGTTGAAATGAGTCGGGAAGATGTTATTTGAAATGTCAAGG